ACCTTCCTGAACCCTTGCGCTCCAACTCTACACAACATGTCTGCGAAATCAGTACAAGGGCCTGGCGGCAAGAAGCCCGCGTCGGCGGCCACAAACTTGATCGGTAAGCCTCAAGTTGTGAATTTAGAGGGTATGCGACCGCGATGGCAGGATACTGACGCGACATGAAGCCGGTGGTGGTGCTGGAATGATGGAGGCACTCGCGTGTCATCCTCTCGGTGAGTTACAACTCCCCAAACCTACACTATCTGCGCGTTGAGTCTAATTGGATATCAGATACGATCAAAGTCCGTATGCAACTGTCAAGACGAGCTCGCGCTCCAGGAGTACGTCCCAAATTACACTTTCGAAGCGGTCGGCATACACTATCCAGAATGTCACTGATTGGTATACATTGCAGGCAAAGAAGCGCGGATTTATTACGACCGGAACTGAGATCGTGAAGAGGGAGACAGCATTAGGCCTATATAAGGGATTAGGCGCTGTTCTCACAGGCATCGTCCCGAAGATGGCCATACGCTTCACGAGTTATGAGTGGTATAAGCAGATGTTAGCGGACAAAGAGGGCAATGTTGCGTCAAAGTCTACGTTTATGGGTAAGTTCGAAGCTCGCGGAGTCGCAAGGCGCATCTTTTCGGAACAGAGTCTACTCAAGAATGACCGAATACTAACACTTTACAGCTGGTCTTGCCGCTGGTGTCACGGAGGCCGTTCTCGTCGTCACACCCATGGAGGTCGTCAAGATCCGTCTTCAAGCGCAGCACCACTCGATGGCCGATCCGCTCGATATACCCAAGTACCGAAACGCCGCGCATGCCATGTATACCGTCATCAAGGAAGAAGGTGCAGGCGCATTATGGCGTGGTGTCTCGCTCACAGCGTTGCGCCAGGGAACAAATCAAGCAGCAAACTTCACCGCGTACTCGGAACTCAGGGCACAGTTACAGAAGTACCATGGCACAACAGATCTGCCGGGCTATGAGACGAGTCTGATCGGGCTGATCAGCGGTGCTGTTGGTCCGTTTACGAACGCGCCGATTGACACCATCAAGACGAGGTTGCAGAAGACGCCTGCGGAGGCAGGTCAAACTGCTATTCAGAGGATAGTAAACATCGGAAAGTAAGTCTTCGGGCGCATCCAACTTTCGAGTGTTAGCTGACAATTCACAGCGACATGTGGAAGCAGGAAGGTATCCGCAGTTTCTACAAAGGTATCACGCCGCGTGTGATGCGAGTAGCCCCCGGCCAAGCTGTCACATTTACCGTGTACGAATATCTGAAGGGTGTGTTGGAGAAAGGAAGAGAGATGCTCCCTGGTGGGGCATACGAGGAGTGAGCTATCATTGTGTTTTCCGGTCTGTTGGAGAGCGCCTGTCGATGAGTATAGGTTACTTTCCAAGCATATTGCAGCATACAATTCCTGTGACATACCACAATATATGCATTCTAGACGCCACCTCAGGAACCAGACTGCATGATAGAAGCAGGGCCGCCAAGGTGCATCGGCCGTCCAGCCCACCTGCCCCACTATAGGACAGCATCACCGCTGGTTCGACGTCAGTGTAAACGCTCAAATCAGTACATTCAACAACATCGCAGCCTCCTCTTTGAGTGTTCCGAAAACCACAGAAGATACTGCAGTAGAACCTTGCCAAGATGCAGTCTGGTATCTCCGGTAACGATCTTCCAGCGCGTTCCAACCTCGCACCCCACTAACAACCCCCATAGCTTCTCAGGAGCTCAAATCCGCCGTCGGCAGCCTCATAACCTCAAGCTCGCAACGCGGAATCCTAGCCACAATCCAAAACGAGACCATCATCCCCAGCGATACCATATCCTCGTCAGCATCGACTTTCCTCGCCGACCTCTCCAATCTCCAATCCAGCATCCAGCCCAATGCCGCACTGTACATTCTCCTCCGCCGCGCCGACTCGCTCTCCTCACCCGACAAATCCCTCGTAGCCGTAACATACGTACCCAATGCCGCGCCGGTACGCCAGAAAATGCTTTTCGCATCCACGCGCCTCACACTCGTGCGCGAACTAGGCGGAGAGCATTTCAGCGAGAGTGTCTTCACGACCGAAGCATCAGAGCTCACGCCGGAGGGCTGGGAGAAACACATTGCGCATACAGCATCTGACAACCCGCTGACAGCGGAGGAACAATCGCTGCAGGATATCAAGGCTGCTGAGGCCCTGGAGAGCAGAGGCACACGCGGCCAGGGTTTGGCCCAAGGAGGCAGGATCGCTATTCGGGCTGATGATGAGATTGGCGGCGCGTTGAAGAAGTTGGGACAGGGTGGAACGGATAACCTCGTGCAACTGCGCATGGACGGCGCGTCCGAGACGCTTCAGCTTGTGTCTTCTTCGTCAGCGACGCCTTCGACTCTCTCCCAGGCTATCGATGCTAAGGAGCCACGGTACTCGTTCTACCGTCATGACGACGCTGCTGCGAGTATCGTATTCATCTCGACGTGTCCGAGCGGAGCGAAGATCAGGGAGAGGATGCTGTATGCAGCGAGTAGGGGCAATGTGGTCAGTCTGGCGCAGAACGATGGTGGGCTCAAGGTGGAGAAGAAGATTGAGGCGACGGATCCGGATGAGATTACTGAGCAGGTTATCCTGGACGAGTTTAAGGTGGAGAAGAAGGAGGAGAGCAAGGGTTTTGCGAAGCCGAAGAGGCCTGGACGGCGGTAGATGGCATCGCAGGTATGGGAGTAGACAGAACGATGGGAGACAAAGCCTATCATCAAAAGCATAAAAGTCAAGATGACAATGGATATCATTCGCATCATACTGCACAAGTCCGACTGACACTGTGCTATTATCTACTCTCCATTCCTCAAGAAACCCCGGTTACCATGCGGCCTCCTCTCCAGCTTCTTCCCGAACCTAACGCCAGGTTTCCCTCCCTTTTTGTCCATCTCACGCCCCTTCAACCAGTGTTCACGTACGTTCTTCGTATTCCTGTTGACCTTGGGCGGCAGCACCCGGTTCTGCTGTGCCAAAACCGCTACGCTGAGCTTGCCCTTCTTCACATCCTTCGCTGGCTTGTCAACGCGCTCGAGGAACTTTATGTGGTGGTTGAGCTTCTCCTTCCTGAGTTCCTCCTCCGTCTTTCCGCGCCGCTGGGGCGGTGGCGTGGGAGGGCGTTGGTCGTCGATGGTTTCGAGGAGGGAAGCGGGCAGGAGACCGTTTGATACGTCGATGTCCATGCGTGACGCAACTTCTGGCTCTTTGTCGAGGGGCCCGGCGGCAGCCTTTGCTTCCTTGGCAGCTTTCTTCGCCAATTTCTTTGCCTTCTTCTCCTCATGCTCGCGCTTTGCAGCTTGTTGGGCGGCAACGAGTTCCTCGCGCGCTTGCCGCTTGGCCTGCTCCTTTGCTTGCTGAGCCTTCTGCGCGCGGTCGGCTTCGGCTTGCGCAGCTCGTGCTTTCGAACCTGCAGCGGCTGTGGTGACTACCTCGGGGGCTTCGTCGTCCGAATCGCTTGCTTCGTCCTGGTCGACTTGGCTTGTTTGCGTTGGGGGTAGTGACTCGATGGGCTGAGAAGCTTCATATCGCTTGTGGCCTTGCTTGATCGCAACGGGCGAATCTTGCGACTCGGCAGGCTCCTCGCTACCAAAGCGTCTATGCGTCTTTTCAGGTTGTGCTGAAGGAGGCGCGTCGCCTTGCGAGGGTATAGGAGCTGTGCTGCTCTCGTACGAGGACGTTGGAATCTCGTCAGGGAACTTGGACGGCGTCTCTACAACCTTCTTCGGGCGGCCTCTGCCTCTCTTGGCTGAGCCTGGTGCTAGCGTCTGGCCATCTCCCGTCTTAGCCTTGGGTGTAGGTGATCCCTCAGGTTGCTTAAATGTTGTGGCGGGCGTCGCGTATACTGATCCTGAACCTGAACCAGGCTGCTGCGCTGGTGTGTAAAAGGACGGATTTTGTGAAGTTGCTGGTGCCTCTTCCCTGCCTTCACCGAAGCTGTCCGTGGCCGTCGAATCATCCGGCGACTTCCTGCTGACTACAACGTGGGGGCTCGATCGGCGTCGGAGTGGCAGAAATTCATCCTGTGTCGGCGTCTGAGGGTCTTGGGTCGCAGGCGCGGCGGCGACAGCGATTGTGTCCGAGATATCCTCTACGGACTCATGCGAAAGTCCTTGTGAAGGCGCATCCAAATCGGCGGCCTGCTTGGCAGATCTCTTCTTGGAGGACGACGTGGGCGCAGACTTCCTCTGCCTTTTCGTTTGTGTCGGCGTCTCTAGCGACTCGAGTTCTCGCTTTCCTGCGGCTTTCCTTGTCGAGCTGCGCGGCGTCGGTGTCGGTGCGCCTGGCGTCTCTGTTCCGCCTCGTGTAGTGACCATTGCGTTTTCGTTGCTGTGGGTTGATACGCGTCGTGTACGAACCGCGGCTGTTCTTGTCGTTGCTGCGTTGGTGGATCGCGCGATGTGGAAAAGATTCTGGCGTGCCAAGATTTCGCGGCCATTGCGGACCCCCGAGACTAGCGGGCCTGGTGAATTCCAAGGATTACCGCATCGCCGTTCACCAACTGTCGAGCAGTCATCTCGTAACTATGTCGACTCCTCGCGCAGTATTACGCTCAGCAAGCGCAGTCGCGCGTCTAGAGCCATGTTTGTCGTGCCGATCGCGTCAAACAACTCTAGCCATCCGCTACAATGCTACGAGATATCCGATGGCCTCGCATTGGCTTGCAACAGGCATGCGAACCCAGAATTATTCCATCAACCGAAAATTGGATCCAAAAGCACGTGTTGAAGTTGATACTCGCGCTCGACTGGGCTTCTACACCATATGCAAGCAACAAAGCGTACTCAATATCGAGCCGCGTACGGCTCTGAGCATCTACAATGACTTCGTTGCGAAAACGAAAACAACTTCCCATAGCGATAACGTTTTGCGGATAGTCGAGAGTAGGTTCGCGGCCCATACTCCCCTCTATAGATGGCACTGACATGAGCAGAATACAACGTCCGATTAATTGATATTACATCTCTTGCGATGGCCACATTCAAAGTACCCGATCTCAGCAATCCAGAGATAAGAGCTCGACTGCCTCCTAGTCAGCACAAAGAAGTCGCTGTTATGCTTCTGCAAGGATGTGCGCAAGCTGGGGATCCTCTCGCGATCGTACACATCCTGACTGTCGTCTACCTTGGCAGTTTGGGCAACCAGCCCGCTCAAGAGATTGTAAGGCTCTTTCCACAGAAAGATATCGCCCAATACCGCCAGCTGCTCGACACGATTGACTTGCAGACCTTGGAAAAGACTCCAACTCTAGTAGTTGAAGTTTTGACTCTAAGAGGACTCTTCCTTGAGCAAGCAGGACAGAAGCAAGAGGCCATAAAAGCATACCAAGAAGCCATCAAGCCTTCAACTCTTAATGATCAAACTGGAAGGCCATTAACGCATGCGATGCAATTTCCCCTTATAGCACCCTGGAATGCGCTCGGTTATCTACTCAAGGCAGACAAAGATCCGAAAGTACAGGCAGAAGCCCAGTCATATTTCCAGAAAGGCGCTCTCGAAGGTGATGATCCGCTTTCATACTACGAACTCGCAGCCTATGAGCCGAAAACAAGCGAAAAGTGGTTGCGGTATACGAGCAAAGCAGCAGCATCCGGTCACAGACAAGCCATACTGGACCTCACTGGCTTCTATCAAGAAGTGGCAGCATCGAACTCGTCTGTTTTAGAAAACGGTAGCATACGACATGCGCTCAACTGGTTACTGACCTGGAGACGCGGAAGCGCCGCGAAGCTTGCGCGAGAGTGGTTACATGTGGCGTCTGTCGTTGGACACAAACCTTCCATGTTACAACTTGCGGAGTATCACAAGTCTATTGGTCATGAAGAAGAATACAGGAATTATTTGCGTATGATAGTCGACTCTGACAGCGCGGCCCTTTACAAAGAAGAGGCACCACAGCTTGTGCAAGTTGCGAGGTTGCGGCTTGCGGGAACCCGGTAACAGCCAATACAACCAGTAGGAGACCATTTCCTGTATATTCCGTTCTTTTCCAGTGTATCATGCGTGTTCGCCGCGCTCATACGCGCAGCTGGTATCGTTTCAGAAGCTACATTCATCTGAAGTGTCCATCAGACAATTACGCAACTGTTCGATGATTCTGCGCAAACGATCTCCACCCCAGATCGATCTCGTACTACGCATTAGACATACATATGTGTGTTGAAAGACATCTTGGTCATATCCTCGACAAAACGACTATCTCCGGATCTACCCCGGCCTACCCCACCTCGGCAGGTGAGCTAATGGCCTTCCTTATCTGGCACTCTGATAGTGGCCACAGCATCCGATGACTGCTTGAAGACTTATGTTCATCGCCAGTATGATCATCTATCTACTTAACACACACCATTCTGCATCTTCATGAAGACATTAAGCACAATATACCATCAAAAATCGATCTTTGATCACTTCAATCTAGCATAACATCTGTTCTCACAATCATGTCGTCTATTATCCCTCTCAACAGTCATCGAAAAGCCTTGATAGGATCACCTTCAAACTTCTGGTCGCACTCTACCAAAAATGGCTTTGACCTCACTCATCCCTCTACGCACTCGTCACCAACTACCGGGCCCACACACACCATCCAGACACGAGCTGATGCCATCACAATCGATCCTTCGAAATCCGCCCTTGTCATCATTGACATGCAAAACTTCTTTCTCTCCGAAGCTTTCGGCCGCGGTCAAAAAGGTCCTGGTCACATTGCCTGCGAACAGTTGGTCAAGTACGCTATCCCAGCTGCACGCAAGGCTGGCATCAGAGTCGTATGGGTAAATTGGGGGCTTACGGAGGAAGAAGCCAAAGAGATGCCGCCAGCTGTGAAACGCGCATTTGGCTTCTTCTCCATTCCGGAAGATGCAGATTTCAAAGCCGACGACGCTTTTGGACACCAAGAAGGAAGCGTGAGCATGGATCGACATGGCAAAGAAAACCAGTCTTTCTACCGTGGTATCGGTGCTGACTGCGGGATGCTCAAGTTCCCAGACGGGAAAACCGTAGAGGGGGGCAAATTACTCATGCGCGATTCTTGGAACGCAGCGCTCTACCCTCCACTTGATGCCATGTATGTCGAAGGCAGCAAGTTGGAGAGTAGGCCTGACGTCTGGATCCATAAGAACAGGATGAGTGGGTTGTGGGGTGCCACGACTCCACTCAAGGAGTTTCTGGATCAAGAGGGCATTAGGACCTTGTTCTTCACAGGTGTCAACACCGACCAGTGCGTGGGTGGAACCCTGACTGATGCATTCAGCAATGGATACGACTGCGTGTTATTAGGTGATGGCTGTGGGACGACCACACCAGACTACGCACAGCAGTGTTGGGAGTATAACGCCGCCAGAACCTTTGGGTTCTGTGCAAGTTGTCAACAGTTTGCCGAGGGCTTGGGTAACTCTTGAATATGTAATCTACGTATCTTCATTCGAATACAGAAACCGACGTAGAAGGATCGTGAGTACACCTGTAAAGTCAATGGTCTCCGTGGAAACTCTTGAAAGAGTTCCCAGGAGCATCTGTGGGACGGTCTAATCCACACATAGCCAAGACCAGTCTGTCCACTTCGTCACCTCCACATCCTATGAAACCCACCTTTCCTGAGCCAACTGCTGCAAAGGCTACTGAAGCGAGACGTTCCGGCTGTTGTCGAGCACGGTATACGGCCTGTTCTTTAGGTACGCCTCGGAGGAGGAGGTCTTGATTCTGGATTATTGGGGAGAGGACCGTGGTACGCAGCAAACCAGGATCGTTTTGTACAAGATCAGTAATTACGTTCTCACTTCTTACTGACTCCCACTGAAGCCCGAAACCGTCCTTGAAGAGAGCCTCGAAAGCGTCCACTCTATACATTGGCCAATGGAAGTATCCCGTGAATATTGTAGTACAGCCGTTTCTGGTTCGTTCGATCAAGTGATTACGTAGCGTGGTGCTCGGTTCTTCGTTCTCCAGGATGTGATTGCTTTGGACTAGAATAGCATTTGGCCATTCTGTACTGAGGCAGTCGATAGCGTCCTTTACCGTGCGGGACTCGTGGACCGCTGCTCGTTGTATCAGACGAGGCTCAATCTTATCTGATATACCGAATGGAGTGGATGTATCTCCTGCTAGTGTAATGACAAGAATATTGAGCATGATGTGCGAAGCCCTTGCCAATGTAACTTTGACTGTGGATGAAAAGGATGGGTCTGGAACTGAAGAATTGGAGAGCAGTAGATGGAGTCTGCTTATAAGAACATAAATACGCGCTGAGCAATCTTCAGCTCATCAAACGAATAGGCAATCCACGCATGATTCGGCATCGTGAACAAGCAAGCAGGGAAGTAAGCTGCCAGCATGTCTGATGGGCTTATTCTTCCGCAAATATGAAGACATGGGAGACGTCCACGAAAGTAAGTTCCACCAGCTCTGCGAAGCATACTGAAAAATCATGTATTAAATTACACAGTTCAAGTTGCGCAGGAGTGGCGCTTCCTGATCAGACGATATCGCCCCGCCAAGGCCGCCGCGGACATCGGAAAAAGCCTCGGCTAAGCAGCGCGAACGCAAGAAGCAGCTCCGATGCTATCCCCCACCCTGGTTCTTCTGCATCATTACCGGTGATACCCCCGAAACATTACGCTGCCCGGTACTGAGGAGGAAACATACACACAATGTCAGGACTGAGGATATTAGTGCCCGTCAAGCGGGTTATTGACTATGCGGTACGTCCATTACACCAACACATGGACATGGCGCATGCATGTTCGACACTTGAAGGCTTGAAAGAATGGCTCCGAGGATGAAAGCACTCAAGACGGCCGTCCCAACAGCGAATGGCACTGACACCACGATCAGGTCAAACCCCGCGTGAACCGCGCCCAAACCGCCGTAGAAACCGCAAACGTCAAGCACTCGATGAATCCCTTCGACGAACTCTCCATCGAAGAAGCCGTCCGCATGCGCGAAAAGAAGGCCCACCACGCAAACGCCCCCAACGTAGAAGAGATCGTCGCCTTCTCCGCCGGCGTCCCCAAATCCCAAGACATCCTCCGCACAGCCATGGCCATGGGCGCAGACCGAGGCATACACGTAGTCGTAGAAGAGAAGGACGCTCTAGAACCACTGGGCGTCGCGAAGCTTTTACGGAAAGTAGTAGACGAGCAAAAGAGCAATCTTGTAATTCTAGGCAAGCAAGCCATCGACGACGACGCGGGTCAAACAGGACAAATGCTCGCAGGGCTCCTCAACTGGCCGCAAGCAACACAAGCCTCCAAAGTCACAATCAACGATCAAACCGTCGAAGTCGTCCAAGAAGTCGACGGTGGTGTGCAAACAATCAAAGCCAAACTTCCCATGGTCATCACCACGGATCTGCGCCTCAACGAACCCCGATACGCTAGTTTACCCAACATCATGAAGGCGAAGAAGAAGAAGCTGGATAAGAAGAGTCTGAGCGACTATGGGCTGGACACGGAGATCAGATTGAAGACAGTAAAGGTCACCGAGCCACCACCACGGAAGGGTGGTGTCAAGGTAGAGGATGTGGATGGCATGATTAGCAAGTTGAAGGAACTGGGTGCTTTGTAAAGAGCATGCCTATGTATCAATATTCCAAAAAGACTGCAATGCAACAAAAATGGACCGATCCTCGCAGCGTTTGTGCGACTACAACTTGTCGCCCCATACATTGTCCCCCAAGACCTCACGATCCTCCACGTCCAGCTTCCCATAGCCTGGTTCTAGCTTCCTCACCCTCAGATCCTCCTCATCTTCACTACTATATTGCACGTTCTCGTTTTTGAGATACTCCTTAACTCCATCGCTGTCTTCCTCGCTCCGCTTGACATACCCACCAGTATAATCGTGCGACTTGACCCTCTTGACACCCACCCAACCCAATCCCTTCTGTAGCCCGTCCAACTCCTCCGCCTCCTGCTCGCTCAGCCCCTGAGCCCTTTTCAAAGTCAGAAGGGAGTTGATCCTTTCCGAAGTCTCCAGGTAGGATGACCGGTCTTTCTCATTCCATTTCGCGCTGTATACGTCTGGCTGTTCGAGATCGACGCGTATTACTTCCCACCAGTGAGATCGCATGGCTTCCGAGAATGTTCCGTCGAGATTTTCCTGCCTTGAATCAATGCGGTAGAATGCTGTTGTGTTGCCGTCCAAGGGATCTGTCCAAATCGCGTTTACCTTCTTTTTCCCCGTATCACCCTCTTCGCCCGTGTCTGCATCGGGGTTACAGCCTTGCAACACGCGATCAGCCAGTTTCTTGTCCGCTGCTTCTAGATCGTTGAACCACGCGACGATCTCGAGGTATTGCTCCGGATTTTTGGGGTACTCTAGTTCGATGTACCATTTTTCAGCGAGCGTGGTACCGGACATGGTGACGCCGACACTAGGGTATTCATATTGGATGCGATCGTGGCCGGTCCACTGAGAAGGGATCTTAGGTAGTTCAGCGGAGGCGACGCGGAATGAGGGTTTGTCTTCGGAACGTGAGTGGGAATGGATGACTAGGTAGACGGAGTTGACAGACATTTCGGGTTTTGGGCAACTTCTTGACTGAAGGCTCGGAATAGGAGATGGATGTACTCGTAATATAACTTAGGCCTCGCGATGGACAAGCTTTGTGTGGAGTGACCCTTTTTGCTAACAAACCAGTACGGTTGCGTGAAAGCACATCTCAACATTTGCTACTACCCGCTACCACCTACGTTTGATCTATGCATGTCTCTAACCTATCTTAGTTTCCAAAACTAACAGCGACAACCTCCCACCAATACCTAGTCATGACACTCTTAGTCCCATCATCAAGCGTCATCGGCTGATGAACAACGTAAAAAGTGCTATCCATCATGTGATCATTTAGCTCCGAAACATCCCATAGAGACTTTGGAGCTCTTGTCACCTTGATACCGGCTGCCCTGAACTCGTCTATATGCTTCTTGGCTTCATCGACCAAG